ACCTTCTTTCATTTTCCAGATTCTGGACTTTATCTATTGACCGGTTTTGATTTTTATTTTGATCTATTTTGAATTGCGTGACACTGAAAACCAGCTATTTCTCCAAATAAGAGGTTTTTGTGGTTTACATGTCCGGCTTTGGCGCATGTAGGACGTTACTTGATGTATCTCTTATCCACTTTGTTGTAAGCTTATTGTCTCAATTAAAACATTTCTTGGGCCTGGCTGACCAACGTGCCCATACCTCAACCTTCGAGTGTGTTGGGTTGTGTAGTGAACGCAAAAACGCCGTTTTCGCGCAACATCTACAGCTTGCGTGACATGTACAAGCATTATTAATGTGACTCATTTGTCGGTTTCCTTTTGAGCATTGTTTTCCTTATAGTCCCATAATTCTGTATTGAACAAACCAGCTTAGGGATTTCATAATTATTTCATAGCCCGCACACACTAAAGGTTACACACAAGGTGTGTTCCCTTTCTTTCTTTACCGTGCGAAGATGGCCCTTTCGGAATGTCATTTAGACACTAATAGGTCTTAAAAGGGCAAATATGCACTCCTTAATAAAACTTCTAACGGGACGTATTTGGAGGGTACACCACGTTATATGCATCAGTGTTGATAAAGGCACTGATAAAAATAGATCACTCATCCCACCGAGCTTGTAAAAGCTTTCCAACTGATCAATGCCAACACTGCTTGTCCATTATTTTATCAATATATGCGTTCGCGGGTGCACGGTATTTAGTTCTGTATTTGCAGACTGCAGACTTTTCGGCTAGTAATCGCGTATATTAAGAACTGGCATTTCTACTTTTCAAGAGCTAACCGCAAACAGGCTCCTGAGCGCTATTCAAGCTATCCGGAGAGGTCTATATTCAGGCTAACCTGTGCTCTATTTTGGCCTAAATGTCATCTGCGGTCTGCAAAAGTCATATACCGAGCGTTCGCTTACCGCCAACTCTCGCCTCATCTCTGGTTTGACCGCTCTTGTCTTTTCCTTTCTCGTGAGCCAGCAACACACCTAGCGTGACTAGAATAATTAACAGCAATAAAATCACAAAGATCGTCAGGGCAATTTTCACTCGGCTCACAAAAAAGCCGCGAACTTCCAAGTTAGAGACGGCGGAGTATTCTCTTGCCATGTTCATCGCGTCAAATTTGAAACCAGCTCGATGTTCAATAACGAATCAGTTGAGGTGAGAATCAGTCATCCAGATAATCATGTGACGTCTATGAAGAGGACTAATGGAGTGGAAATTTGTAATCAATGAAGCAGTATAGCATGGTTTGAGAGTCCAATATCGTAGATACGGGAACAAGTGGCTTAATACGAGTGTTTTTAGTCTTATTATTATACATTTAACTTACTATCTCTTTTCTGATGGGCCGAAAGCGTATAGTGAATTTTCGAAATCAGTGCCTGTGACGTCATCTAGCTGCAGATTATACAATAATCATGTCAAGGACACTCAAGGTCACGAGTAGTCATGTCATGTATGACCGCGGTGCATGATTTCTAAGGGTAATCATGTCAAGTTCGCGCGCTTTGTGTTGCTTGTAGTCAGTGGGGAAGCAAAAACATGACTTCCATTTTTTTCCCTTCAATTTGTAATAAAACAGTTATTAGATTCGGTTTTTGTGACATCCAGAATAATCAAGGTCTCGGTAAGGGTTATCAACCTCAGCCTTCAGCTTCGGCTGATAACCCCTACTTCGACCTTGATTTTTCTGGATATCACAAAAACCTCATCCAGTAATTGTTTATAATTCATGGTCGCTTGATCGACCATTCCAGCTTTCTCGTTCGTGTTACGGTACCCGAAAACACAATCAGCCAATCAAAAGCCGTGTTTACTCCGTAGATATCCCGAAATATCAAGTCTCAAGCGGACGTCGTACGGCCAGATTCTTGGCCGAATTTGCATATGGTAAATACTCTAATAGGACTAGTCGCTCGACCGCCTTTCGCCAAAATAACAACCGTGCCTTCACCAGACTTGCGTGATACGCGCCAAAATGAACCAGAAAAGTACGACAAGTTACATACAAGTTACAGCTTAGCGCCAGACACGCCAGTTGCAGGGAGCGAAGGAGAGTGGGAGCTAGGGCGCGAAGGGGCGAGGGAGCGAGAAAGAAAGGCGAAAAGAAAACGAGGGAGCGAGAAAGAAAGAAAGGGGGCGAGGGAGCCAGAGAGTTGTGTAAGGAATACACTGTTTTCGATATATTAAAATTCAGCTTGGGAATAAGGCCTAGAGGAGCATGTGTATTTCTCGTTTGTGTCTCTTGGCCTCGCTATTAAGTTGAGTATCAATACATCGAAAGTGGCCTATTAGCGACTAGGGTGGTAACAAGCAAATAGTTTGTGGGCTCCCTAAGGTGGAGCTCTTGTTCTTATTTATTTGTCCATCTTTGTACAAAGAGATTGTTTACAAGGAGATTGTCTTCTTTCAGAACTGTCCCATATTCTCAGGTCCACTTAAATTTGTTGTCTTATCTCTTCTTTCCAATGACTTTCAGTTCTGTTGACTATGCGAAAAAAAAAAAAAACAGAGAGAAGTCTGGAAACTAAACTGGACTAGCTCTGACATTCGTCACCAACTCCCCGCCTCGTCCGCCTCGTCGTCAAGTTCTGTCACATCAACTGCCTTCTCCCTTTCTTGCTTAATAAGCAGCTTCAGCAATCGTTTCTTATCAGTAGTGATACGGTACTCCAGATCATCGATTTCTTTCTTGATATCTTCGTCGCTGTCAGAACTCAACTTCTTTGGGTTGTAGTCTGAATGATCCCTCGATTGGCTTGATTTGTGGGAACGTGAACCGCGTGAAGAATCAACATGACTCCGTGGTGAACGTGACGAGTGCGAACGCGAGAAACGTTTAGATCGCGAGCGAGAACGAGACCGTGAGTTTCGTGATCGTGAATTCGGTGAGCGTGAACTTCGTGACCGTGACCTTCGTGACAGTGATCTTCGTGATCGTGAGGACGAAGGTGCTTCATTCCTCTTCGACGAGTCTGACGTTGTGCGAGAACGCGAATACTCTACCGTCCTTTTGTCGAATTTCTCCGACCGAGTCTTTGAAGCGGACTTGGCCTTGGACTGAGAGCGTGATCGACCAGAAGAACAGGATCGAGACCGTTTCTTTTCGCGATGGTGCTTTTCCTTCTTTAAGCTTTGCTTTTTTGAAGAAAGCAATTCAGATTTTGACATATCGTGATCATCAATTTCTAATCGTCTTTTCCCCTTGGAGCGATGTCTTTCTTTTAAGCGTGAAGGTGAACGTGAACGTGATCGATGGCTGCCTTTTCTTGTTCGTTCTCCAGTTGAACGTGAGCGATCTCGCGAGAAGCGTGATTCAGCATGGCCGGAGCGAGATTCATCGTGTAAGATTCTCTTTCCTTTAGCAACAGATTTAGACCGAGAGCGAGATCGTGACACAGACCTTTCAGTCTTTCGTCGCAGCACTGTTAGATCGATGGGCGAAGCTCGATTGTGCAGTCTGGACGCAGAAGGAGAAGTGTTACTATCACTGCTAACAACAATAACTTCTACTGGGGGTGTGCCAGATACAGACGATTCATCTTTTGACCCAGAATGGTCTAAGCCATTGTCCAAGCTCTCTGTCACTTGAGATTGTTCGCTGATACTTCGTTCCGTCTTGTGTCTCTTAGAATCTTTCTGCTTAGGCTTGTGTTTGTGCTTATGTTTATGTTTGTGTGAATGTCGATGGTAATGATGTCTCGATTTCTCTTGCGTTTCTTCAGTAACAGATTCACTTTTAGACCTGGTTCTGTTTCTTGATCCTGTAGAATGAGCAGCTCCGTTTGCAGGTTCGTCAATTCCCGGTCGTTCAGCGTTTGTCCACACAGTGTGTGAACTAGCCGAGGATATGGTCACAATCTCGGCTAAACTGAGTTGTCCATTCAGCCCAGATGTGCCTGGGGACGAGCTAGGAGACCAGCTCGTGCTTTCTCTTTGTAGCACTGGCGAATCTCTGCTCCAGTCTGTTTCCAACACTTCCAATATCGATTCTCCAGAGGGGCCTGGAACGGGAGTTTGCCAACCTTTAAAACGGAAAATCAAATTTTAAAACAGTTATCGTCGCTTAAAGTTACTCCATGTACTGTCAAGTATAATAAACAATGCTGCAAACGAATGTAACCTGAAGAGACCTGATCAAAAGGACAGGTAGATGAAAAGATAATGGTGATGATTACTCTCGCCGTAAAGGTATCCGGTCAGGTCGTTCCAAATCAGATGGCCGGGGGGTACTCCCGTGTATAAACTACATGGGTATGTGCTGTTGTGAAGGGTATGGTTTTCAGGTAGTGTAGCCTAGGATAGACAGTTTTGGTCTAGAATAGGGTACAATTTACCGGAAAAGTGGAGGGGATCTATCAAAGAAATAACTGAAACTCGGAGGTGACTTCGTAAGATATTGGTTTAGATATCGTATCTTAGAATACAACAGTGATAAAGTTTCTGCAAGGAAAATAGCTAGTCTGGTATAGGGTATGAGGTTTTTGGTGCCTAGTCTAGAATAGGATTGCAAAGTGGCACAACCCTACCTAAGGATTTACAGATTACACCCGCTGGCTCACATCATTCCACAATTTAAGACAAAAGTGCTGGGAAGGCAAAGAGTTTTGATCGCTCTTTCTCTCTCCCCACCCCCTCCGCCCCGCCCCCTTCCGCTATTCAATGCTAAACAGCAACCTATCTACCCGCAAAAGATTATATTAGAAACTAATAATTATTTCACGTGGTACACACCTGAAGTTTGACTGTGAAACACAGTCGGCGTGTCTCTCACTTGATCACGTGACTCATTGGGCCTGTTGTACTGCGCACGCTCATCATAAGCAGTCATGTCAAATGGAGACCGAGCAAAGCTTGTGAACTCGTGAATGAAATGTTCTGTTTTGTCAAACAAGAAGGGCTGAAGTTGAAGGTGAAACTCGTCAGAACTGAGCTCAACCCTGGGTGAAAAAAGATGAAGAAGTTTACTTCACTCTGACTGCATTATGTTGGAAAAAACTTTCATACAATAATGATTCCTCAAGTTTAAACAAAGGAAATCACGATGATGACACTGACGGTGTATGGATATCTTGTATACTTGGCAAAGATGTATACTTTAGAAGGGTCCTTTGCACAAATGAATAAAATGTCCTATTACCTTCGTTGTGATAAAAAACACATGAAATGTGCATGAAATATTTTTCAACACTCAAAGAGAAACTTCCTATCTCCGCACGGCCATATAATTTCCTCTATATCTTTTCATTAAGTATTGGAAATTGTCACAATAACTTATACAAATTAAAGGTAGACAAACACACGTCACTTTACTTACGTTCAGAACCACATATGCAGTAACAAAATTGGCAGATTTGACAAAATTTCATCAAACTTCAGGGGTGATTGTTCATAGATTTGACGATTTTGGTGACTTTTAGTCAAATTTGTCATTTGAAGCGAAATCAGCTTGGTGAAATTGATTATTTTGGCGTCTTATCTCCAGCCAGAATTTTGTAAACTATCTTTTAAGGGGTGGTCCTAACATGTTGGCAGATTTGGCAATTTCACGGACTTTTCACCAGCCAGATTACAAAATTTCATCAAATCTGTCATTTTCATTACTGCATGCATAATTTCTGGACATATCTCTGATAAGTAACAATTCTACAAGAACTAAATAGACCATTTTACAGTTGCCTGCTCAGTGAACTGGCCTTTGGATGGCAGCGAGGCAGGAGTTGACCTTGTTTTGATACAGACCTTGCTGCTTTTGTTGTGTAAAACAAGTTGTTCTGATGCTAACTAGGTGCATTTACATGACAATAGCATTGAGGTCTGTATCAAAACAAGGTCAACTCCAGCCTCGCTGCCATCCAAAGGCCANAAAAAAACAGCAAGGCATTGTTAGGTAAGTAAATTGAAAGCCATATGCAAAAAAACGGGCACTTTTGACGAAAAAAATTTTTTGACCTAAATAGTCACTTAGGAGGGTTTTCCACTAGCATCTTCAATTTGTTTCCTTAGAGGTGCATTAAGATGATTGATAGCAGCTAAGCAAAACGCTTTTAATTGAACAGAGTTCGCATGGTGTTGAGAAGTGCATTAAAAAATTAAATAAATAAAACAATGAAGGCTTTATAACATTGCATGTATAAGAGGTAAATTTTTCTCTGTACACTGTAACTTACAGATTTCCCGCTGGCGTGCTCGACCTTCCTGAGTTACTCCTTGTACCCATAAGTTATTACAGTAGATGGTTCTGTGTCAAATACCACACATATGTATAAGATTTTGTTAATTAGTTCAGTAATCCTTTTTTGTAAAATAGTCCTCATTCCATTTTCCATTTATTTGGCAAATCAGCAGCTTCAAGATACTGTCTGAAAATGCCACCAATTTTTTACATTTTAATCACCAGACTGAAATAGCTGTAAATTGTATAACTGTACCTTCTTCTTTCACGGCCTATTGCCTTTCTATCCCTCTGCGCTGCAATGTGAGCCTGTCGTCGTCTTGCTCGCTGTTCCCAAGGATCTGTTTCATCCACCTGTTGTCCTTGACTTTGTCTTTGCTGCCGCTGTCTGTTACCCTCTGCTAATGTTGTTCTGTAGCGGAAACGCCTTCCATCACTTTGAGATTGTTGTTGGATCATTGGTGCATGGACGTCAGGCTTTGAAAGGTAATGCTGTGAGCAAAATAAAACAACCAAAAACTATCAGACATCATGATCACTTGGTGGAAAGCCAAGTGGAGACTGAGATAATAGGCTATGTTTTTACAGTTGTGTGCTCAGTGACCTTCCCTATGAATGCAAGCAAGGCTGGAGGTGACCTTGATTTGATACAAACCTCTCTGCTTTTCTCATTTAAATAAATGGAAACTAGTTGGCATTAGAACAACTTGATTTACACAACAAACACAGTAAGGTCTGTATATCAAAAATAGGTCACCTCCAGCATAACTGCCATTCAAAGACCTGGTCACTGAGCAGACAACTGTAAAAAGGTCTATTTGTGCACAGAAAATATACTTAGACGCTACAGAATTGTTTAGAATGGAACATCAGAAATTCATTTCCATTGGTTTATTTCTTAAGTTTCCAGCCTATCATCAAGGGGGAAACAATAACAGGAAACTGGAAATTGTAAAACGGTAAGTGCCATCTTTTTTTAAAATTCTGGTAAACCTTTACCAGTTATTACAACAGCCATTCTGACTAGTTCCTTGTGATAAATGGTACATGTTCATAACCTACACAGTCAAACAACTGTTTTCCAAAGCATTTTTGAGTATATTTAAGTCAAATCTACATCATCATGTACCTGTTGGTAATTGTCCATAGATTTGACACTGTGAATAATGGAAGAAAAGCTTGATTTGCACAAAGGGCATGTCCTCACTATCTCAGACCATTGTAATATACAAAAGTAACAAAAAGCATCTGAAAACAAGCAGTTAAGGTAAAATATGTGCTGACAATAGACTTCATTACAATGAGTAGAGGTACATGTAAATTATTGGTGGGTAACCTTGACAACAAGGCTGAGAAGTAAACTGCACAGAGGTTTTGCACAGCAGCCATGTTGTATGGCAGGAACAATGAAAATGTTTTGCATTAGAAAGAACATTTTTTTTCCCATAAGAAAAAGAATCTATTGTTCCTGCCATCAACATGGCTGCCGTGCAAAACCTCTATAGCATACAAGTTGTTGTTTTGCATTCTTGCCAAACAACAATTAAAATCTCGTTATTCTATCACAAGCACTCAGTGATAAGCAACCTATTCCTCTATCAACACACATGCTCGGCAGCAGACATATTTACTGGGGCATGTTCAAAACATGAAATGGCAAAATGGCTAAATGGGACTGCAGTTAACTTACATAGTGCTCTGGTTAGCCTGAATATCACTGACTTGACAATGGTTAGCTCACAGTAATGGTAAGTGTTACCCTTACAAACACCCGTTTCCCACATTGTCCCTTACTTGTAGTGCCATTTTTGTGTTTTAAACATGCCCCATTTACTGAGTTTTAAAAAGAAAAGGAGTTCCTTCAGGGGGGAGGGAGGGAGGGAGGGTGAGAGGTTATTGACTCATCTTGGGGCTAATCAACTTTAGGTTGGGGGCTAACCGACCTTCATTTCCTTAGTCGTATAGGCTTAGGAGCTCTGGGTTAGCCAGTATGCAGATCTCTGTTTTTCTTTTTTTCCACCCAGGCCATAGAGAGGAGGGGGCGGTGATGGTA